CAGGCCTGGCTGAAATATTCGGGTGTCAATGAAGGTCACCTGTCAACTTAGAGTAGTGCCTGAAGATTACTCTGTGTGGCTATAAACGACTGTTAAATGGAATGATGAATTGTTGATGGATTTTGAAAACGGAAAAAATGATAGTCATGCCGGCCCAGCATCCTCAACATTGAAAAATGCCCCGGCACGAAGTGGTTAAAGCCATATCACCCTGTGGAAATTTTTGGGCATCTCCCGTCCCTCGTCAGGTGTGAATGCTTGAATGTGTCCTTGAAGAATAATCCGACGTGCATTGTGTTTCCCTCAATGAGCCGCGATGTGCGGGACCCCCGGGCACACGTCGATGCGCTGCCAATCCCATGGAAACCAGGGTCTTCCATTTTTCATCCTTCAGCTCCCTATGGTTGTCCGTTCACTCCTCCTTTCTGTTTATTTCAGGTTTAAGTTCTTTAATATACGCTGATTCCATTACCTACCTGAGCATCGCGTCACCGGGGCAATTGTTCAATATTTTTACCTCAACTTCTTGAGACTGCCCCTCATGTTTCTTTTGCATGTGTTAGTGCAATGCTGATGATTTCCCCTCGCATGTTCCTGAACCCTCTCACCCAGTGACCAAGCCGTTTCCCCAATGTATCTCTCATCACATCCTTTGAATGTTAACTGGTATACTGGTACCTCCATCCTCGCTTGTTGGTCCGAGCACTTCCAAAGTCTCTTCAGTGCTAACCCCACCGTACAGGATGCTGTCATCCATCGTGTTCCTCCGCTCCCACTCAAAGTGGAGCTCGACGATCCACCCACCCTCAAGGAGAAGATTGAAGCCAAAGAACAACTCAAGAGTCGCAAAGCAGCAATCTGGAAGCATGGAGGCCCGACGCTCAGCGACAAGCTTCACGATCTTCTTGTCTGCTGCTGGGAGCAGGGCAAGGTGCTGCAAGATCTTTGTGATGCTGTCATCATAACACTGTATAAGAACAAGGATGAAAAGTCTGACTGCTCCAACTACCGGGGAATCACCCAACTCTCCATTGCTAGCAAAGTACTTGCCAGGGTCCTGCTCAACAGGCTCGTTCCAACCATCGCCGAGGAAAACCTCCCTCAGAGCCACGACAGACATGGTGTTCATTCTCTGCCAACTCCAGGATATGACATGACAATCTTAATGACTTGCATTGTATGCATCTCTCACAAATCAAATGTTTTAATCTTTGGAAAAGAACTAATATCACCCCAGTTTCTAAATCTGGAGACAAGGGTTTGATTTGCAATAACTATCCAACTGCACTTACCTTGGTAGTTTGTAAAATCATGGAAACCATTATAGCCCATGCTATAATATCCCATTAAGTGGAAACCAATGCTGGATGACATTTCAAAAGCTACCTTGTCAACAGACGGAACACAAACATGTAATGACTTCACACTGCCATAGAAAATGCATATGTAAACAAAGCGTAATGTCATTATGCTATATGTACGTGAACGGGTCTATAAAATACTCCTGGCAATACCTTGGTGTGTATTAAGTCTTTCATATCTAGTTGTTACCAGTGAGTATTGTACAAAGGTGGCCTTTCTCCCTGGATTCCAGTGACATCAGGAGTACCTGAGGGTATTGTCTTAGGGCCGCTTTTGTTTAACTTGCTTATTAACAACCTTCCTTCATGCACTTCTTCGACTGATCTACTCAACTGCCCGAGTCTGGGTCTGAATGCTAGTTCTTCTGCAGTGGACACCTGGGAAAAGAACCCTTGCAGGCCGGCAGGAGCTTTACAATCAGGTCCTTCTACTCCAAGCGCCTTCAGTCCGTGCCGCTTGGAATCCATGAATAGCAGATGGTGCTACGTCTGTACCTGGATAACGGCTATGTTTGTATGATTAGTCTACTGTATGTGCATCAACCATGATGCATATGGATGAAACCAAAGAGCAGTTCTGATCATCCAACCTGGGAAAGAGTCATTGGCCACCATGGTGTTGGGAAAGACAACACAAACGTACACTCCTCCTGTCAACATGTATTCAGCACCAACTTGCCATCACTGATACCGCTGTTCCAATAGAATGAAAAATACAACACAACCTGAATGCATCCCGTGATCTT